AACGGCATAGATACCGGTTGATTCTAGAATTATTGAAATGAATTTCAGATAAGTAGTAAAATTGAGAATGGAAATGGGGAATGTGTCAAAGAGACAACAACCCGACCATAGAGCAGACAACAGCCGAAGGCCACCAATGGGTCTTCAATGCAGCGAGAAACTCCCGCACCCGAAGGCGTCCTTCAGCCGGCCCCTAAACAAATATGTATACTAGTTCAGTGATAATGGACGTCATACTAAACTTAAGAAATAATTCATGGGGGCTTGAATATATCGTGATTTTACCACGGGTTGGCCCTTTATGACAAATATTTTACCCTGAGCGATAGCGAGGGGTAAAATATCGGCATAAAGGGACAACCCGTGGTAAAATCACGATATATTCAAGCCCCCATGAATTATTTCGATTCTAATAGGACAAATACGGCAATTGTTTTGGATCGAAGCGCTCTAGATGAAGGCATTATTTGCCGTTCCCATAAATAAACGCACTATTAAATTGACGTAAAAGACCGGAGCAAACTGAATAAATGACACGCTTAAACTATTTACAATAACATATTTAGATAGGTTTGGATGAATCTAAATGATAATTGTACTTATATGTCTTATATGTATATAAAAAAGGCTTATATACCGCATTTTAGCATCGTTTGTTTACGTTTCCTTGTTGTGATGATTTTCGGTTTCACAAGCGTGTATTTTCCCGTAAAATGCTTATATTCTTACGTCATCGTTCTATGACGTCGGGTAGCTCATTCACAAAAAAGCATATGACGCGGGAGTACGATCGGAACAGCCCAAACAATATATTCATATTTTACCACGGGTGTGTACTCAAAGCGTTTGAAGAACGTCATGTTAGAATCCAAATTATACACAGGAGGTCATTAGTACAGTACAGGAATACAGTAGTTTAATTACACAGCTATCTGTCATAGGATAAAGTTCACATAACTGTGAATTCTCGGTTTAGTGGCTTTGTTTAATTTAAATATATTTATCTGTTCGAATTAAATAAGAGAATTGACCTACAACTATATAATTTGCCAAATGGATGAATCTATTTCAACCCTCCCTCAAAATATATCACTCTAACTTATTATTGTACCTTTGAATAACGAGGTTAGATCTCATATACTACACATGTATATACTTATTACATATATAGAATCATATACCTTGATTTACGGATGGATGCATGTTGGATAATATTACAATGTTCGATTTCAGATTTCAGATGCAGAATCAATTACAAAGTGGAAAATTTGGAGTAGGTTGCATCTTGAGGGGTGTAATTACTCCCAAATATAGTAGACCACTAAGACGGACAGTTCAGATCTCGAATTTAAATGACCTACGACAATTTTAAAAGAACAAGATATATATGTCAGAAAGTAGGTGGCGTTTACCCCACATCTCATTCATATATTTTAATAGGATGTATCATGTATGACAACATCCGTGCAAAAGGTGGCGACTCATTTTTTTCTTACTCCTTTTTTCACTTTTTTAACACTGAAAGATGAATCGACTGTGATATAGCAAAAACGATCAGCAATTTATGCTTGATCTACAACATGCAATAATTTTTACTGAAACCACAAAAAATTATTATTTATAAGTTTTGGTAAACTCATCATAGATAACATGATTAAAATGTGTAAGCTAGACGCACGTTTCGTCTACAAAAGACTCATCAGTGACTGAAACTGTCATTATAGAGAAAGTGTCCTTTGATGATGATTTTTAAGAACTTGTACTGTATATTGCCTTGAAAAAAAGTTACAATAAAATTGATAAAGAGGCAAACTCAGACTGTCTTTACTATTGTGATGACCTCAAAATTAAGAACAAATGAATTAGGGAGGCGGGCTTTAGGGATTATTTTTCATTCTAATATTTACAAGATATAATTATTTTATCATAGTACTTGAGAAACAATTGTCCTTGCCTTTACGGGAACACTGACTAATTGAAAAGCTTAGTATGTGAAAATGAATAATATGTTATCGGGATAAACATTGATATCAAAAAGGTTATAAATACCACAATGGCATATGTTTGCCACATTAGCGATTCAGGCTCCTAGGAGTCTCTGGATGAAAACCCTTTTATATAAAAATTTCTTTAAATGTATTTTTACTCGAAAGAATAAAGAGCTTAATACATTCATTTTATTTTGCTTTTTAAGAAATGTTCTTCCTGTGCCTACTTACAATTCTGTCATCGGTAACCAGTGAAGAGCAGGGTGTTTATACAGTGACATCCTGGAACTGTGGTTTCGATGGACAAATCACTCTGGTTCCTCATGAAGATCTTCACGGATGGAATATCCGTTTGAAATTCAGTGACGTAGTTTACAAATTGCAGGTAATTCATTTTTTTTTTATCAAATTAAGTGTTTACTAAATGAGATTTGGGGCATGCGCACATAATTTGGACGTCAATGAAACAGAACAGAACTAATAATATTTTACATTCTCATATGAAGTTCTTATTTCGCTTTGAAAGCAAAGCCATGTTCTAATTGCAATAGAAAATGGGCTGCACGTGTTTGACGTTAGCATTGATATTGCAACGTCAGCTGTATTTTGAACAACATGGACATTTGTGTTGGTGTTGCTTGCAAGGAAATTGAATGTATCTTTTAATTTATCCGTTTGAAATTTAGTGATGTAGTTTACAAATTGCAGGTAATTCATTTTTTTTAAATTCAATGTTAACTAAATGAGATTTGGGGCATGCGCACATAATTTGGACGTCAATGAAACAGAACAGAACAGAACTAATAATATTGTACATTCTCATATGAAGTTCTTATTTCGCTTTGAAAACATAGCCATGTTCTAATTGCAATAGAACATGGGCTGCACGTGATTGACGTATCTTTCAATTTTTTATCGTAAACTTCTTGCTATACAAATAACTGCTAGAAATGAAACGAATGTTGAAACATGAATGTTGATCGACGTTCTTGCACCAATTTGTATATGAGAAGCTTATATCGTCTGTAAACTTTTATCGCACTGACCTGCCCACCTCCAAACTAAAGATAGTTCGATTTTAGGTCAAGTAAGTGGCAAATGTTACCCGGGTCTGGTTGGTACCTGGGACAGAATAAAGAATTATAAATACATTTTCATAATATTTATTTTACATGTGTTATGTCGGCTTATCAGCAATATATAATCATTAAGAATTAACATACTGTTTAATAGGTTTTACAAATAACATAATATCTGACATAATTAATAACCATTGTATTTAATGAATAATTTACTTAATACATTACCCCCAAGGGTGACTGGGGAATAGAAGTATGGTCACCATTGGTCTTCCTCCGACCGGCAGTAAAACCCTTGCTAAAGTGGGGCGTCCGTTTGGCTGTGCGGGATGTACAAATTTGCAGCCACGGCCGGTCAGAATGGGGACGTTAAATCCGATGCCTCGTGTTAAGAGAGTGCCACGCTCTTTGCACGTTAAGAACCCTTGCAACAACTCTTTAAGGGGTCCGTAGGTGACCTGTTGCAAGGCTAAATTTCTGTCCCTATCCAATATACCCTCATTTCCCGTGGCAGTCTAAATTTCTCCGACCTTAATCCCGGACGCCTCTTATGTTATTGTTCTATTATATGTCATTATGTTATTGGTCTATTATAAATTTGAAAATACTTTGAACGACAAACGACAAATTTATTTTACTCGCGTAGTGGTATTAACCATATGTGGATTCTTAAAAATTCTAAAGAACTTCTGGACAATTTTAAATCTCGGTCTATTTCTAAAATTAATTCTAACATAACTTTTGATTTTTTAACCCTGTATACCAACATTCCCCATGTGAAATTATAAAATTGTTTTGAATAAATATTGTATGACAAAATTTCTTCTTATGTGACGTTTACATTTTTGAATGTGGTTTTTAATTTGATAGATGCTTTTGTGCTTTTTTGTAAATAATTAGTTTGTTTTGATATTGTAACACAGTGATGACTGCTGTACCCATATTTTGACTATTTTATTTATAATGTCTGTTTTGTTCACGCATCGTTGTAAATGTAACGGAATTTGATAAGACTGTCGTACAAGTGAGAGGTTTAGCGCTATAAAACCAGGTTCAATCCACCATTTTCTACATTTGAAAATGCCTGTACCAAGTCAGGAATATGACAGTTGTTGTCCATTCGTTTGATGTGTTTTGTCATTTGATTTTGCCATGTGATTAGGGACTTTCCGATTGAATTTTCCTCGGAGTTCAGTATTTTTGTGATTTGACTTTTCTCTATTACAGAACCTACCTATTGTATTTATTGTTAACTTGTTCTCGTCCTGAATATGCATGAAATATTTGCCACTTGACGTTAAGCAACCAACAATCAATCAATCAATACTTAATGCATTACTTAAACTCTGTTATGTCTAGGAACTAATTGAACTTAAGTATTTACTTTCATGGGTCTTAATATACTTTTTACGCATTGAACGAACTTCATTAATTAATTTGAATAACTTGTCATAACATTTATTAAATTAACTAAACATTCCTTTCAAAAATCAGTATGTGTATTTCTTTAAATCAGAGATGTTTTTGTTTCTCAGAACGTACATTAGAACATTAACGGTAATCTATTTTTGCTCTTCTCAATGCTCTTCAACTTTGTACTTGTTTGGCTTTATAACTATTTTGATACTTTTTACAAAACTTCACTGTGTCACACAACTATTCCATGCATGTTCAAGACGATCCAATATCATGAACTGAATAGTTCTCCCAGTTAGAAGTAAACATATTGTCAATGTAGCACCAATCACTCAAGAGGCTCATGAATCAGAAAAGACACATAAATCATTATACCAAACAATCAACTCCTACACCAAAAGATCGATCATTCATTCGTCAAATCTCATATGTTTAATTATGCGTTATGTACGTGAGTCTATGTATAATGTAAATGTAAACAATGGCATATATATTCTGGTAGCCATGGGATGCGAAAATCACATCTACAAGTCTCGATCACACAGAATTTGTACTTACAAATGTGAACTATGACAAAGATGTTCACGCAGGACGTCACCTCAGAATTAGCTTCGCAGCAACTACAAAATGTGGCATCCCACCTCCAACAGCAAATGTAACCATAGACGTTCCGAGTACAACTGTAGGGACCAGAACAAGTTCGGATGGAACACAGTCGTCTAGTACAATAGGAAGTACACAGCTACCGTTTGAGGCAACTGTAGGACAGCAATCATCAGTTCAAAGTACAGAAGTAAAACTTTCACCGAGTCAATCTGGGACAACAACAAAACCAACCGTGATAACAAAAACAGTAGGAACGCATGGTAAGAATCACCAAACTTGCATTGATTTTGTTTTTTATAAATTAAAACATTACTAAATATTTATTGTTATACATGTAAGAAAATTCATGTTCGTCATACATCCTGTCAATATTATACACTTCTATTTTGGCATTGCACAGGTCAATCTTTTTTAACACTTTTTATGTCGTCTTTGCACTAAATCCTTTGAATATGTATTACTTTAAACTTTATTCTGGGAGAACATGAACTAGCTTTCAGTTACTGTGAGTACACTTAGATTGGTAGTGTATGTCGTTTTTCCCTTTTGTAATTGTGTTTTTCACTTCGTGTCAATCTAATGAGTCAGGCCATTTCCATTTACAGTTTTCGGTTTATTCTTATGATGTGCTGCTAAGCCACTGTCCAAAGTTGGGGAAGGGTTGAGCACTTACAAATAAGTTTACTCAAATTGATTCGTTGGTTTTTGATTGCCTACACCGCCTCACCACAAAAAAGATATGTAGCGGCAATATAAGTTTACTCCGAGGAAATCCAGAACGGCAAAACAATAGACCAATTATCGAAAGCATTCAAACATACAAAATCGAGGAAAAGACAATATTACGGAAACAAAAAGACAAACAACAATCTGCAAAACATATAACACAAACTGCAGTAAATCTTGCATTGAAGTCTGGGTTAATTTGCTTATAATATCAATGAAATTACCAGATTCACGTACATATGTAATGATGTAAAACAAGCGAAGAATAAAGAGAAAATATTGAAATACTAAGAATTAGTTTTGTTTTAAATTGAATATATGTTATACAGTTTCAGGGTCAGTTGGGAATCTTTGTGTCGATGATACATTCTTCAACTGCCAGGAACCTGGTGTGTGTACGTCGATGTACAAAGAGCATTGTTCTTATAGTTGTGGCCGATGTGGTTTGTATTATTTGTACTATTTTTTATCTCTATTTATTCCGTATCTTCAAAATGAAAATAATTACATTATTAAAAATCATTTCCGTGAATTAATAAAACATTACCGAATACCAGTTTCTCATTACTTTACATATTATATAACTCTTCATTCGACAAACCCTTAGGGTGAATAGGAGACATCATGTTAAGTAGTATTTCGTCTTCTTCTGTTAGTGCTTGTTCTCACACAATATAAACATAAAGAGATGTGGTATGATTGCAAATGAAAACAACTATCCACCAAAGTCCAAATGACGTGGATGAAAACAACTATCCACCAAAGTCCAAATGACGTGGATGAAAACAACTATCCACCAAAGTCCAAATGACGTGGATGTAAACAACTATCCACCAAAGTCCAAATGACGTGGATGTAAACAACTATCCACCAAAGTCCAAATGACGTGGATGTAAACAACTACCCACTAAAGTCCAAATGACGTGGATGTAAACAACTATCCACCAAAGTCCAAATGACGTGGATGAAAACAACTACCCACCAAAGTCCAAATGACGTGGATGTAAACAACTATCCACCAAAGTCCAAATGACGTGGATGTAAACAACTATCCACCAAAGTCCAAATGACGTGGATGTAAACAACTATCCACCAAAGTCCAAATGACGTGGATGTAAGCAACTATCCACTAAAGTCCAAATGACGTGGATGTAAACAACTATCCACAAAAGTCCAAATAACGTGGATGAAAACAACTATCCACCAAAGTCCAAATGACGTGGATGTAAACAACTATCATAGATCGTCGTGAGACATTCAAGGTGGTACCCAACACCTTGACTAATATTAATTTGGCTCGTTTAATTTTCATAAAATTTTGACAAAATGTTGACTTTGACCCTTTGACAAAAATATAAAAATTTCAAAAAATTTGAACCAACCACTTTATCAGAAAAATTTCATTGGTTATATAGCAGTTTGACAAACACTAATTTTGATCATTGAGAAGCTTAGTATTTCCTTAACAATACAACGTAATTAAAACGTTTAGCTGATTTTTACAGAGTTATCTCCCTGTAGTGTTAGGTACCACCTCAAGCACGAACAAAACGTATACCGCCTAGTAGGCTATAAATGTCCCCACATGAGAACATGTGGGAAAAATAGATTGGTTAATCTTTCTAGATACATGCAGAAGCGTAAGTTAACTGTTTCTCATAAATATTTTCGAGTTTCTAACATATTTTTAACTAACAAATACAAATCAAACCTAAGGAAATTTTGTCACTTTTGGACAAATATAGATTTTCCTTTATACAGGCAATATCAGAAGACATAATAATCCTCAGGTTTCTACATACCTGTAACTTATTTTGATTTAAACAAACAAATAATTTGAAGACCCTCAACTTCAGTTTAAAATGTATCCAAATTTGATGCTAGTACTAGATTTCACAGAAAACGAATATTATGATGAGAAAACGTGTAAATAAAAAAAAAAGAATATTTTAATAACAATAACCAGTAAATGACAAAGGGGAATTAATTCTAAAAGATTACTGGACAGTAATATATGGTCAGTATCTAATAAAGCATGTCATTATTTTCCAAACATAACTCGTGTCCTTATCGCTACATTTTTCATTTCTGGTAAAGTCTTTTTTCTATTTCATTGTTTTTGTTATTACGTTTCATGTTATTTCTTCCTAAAATGTTTGTTTTCATGTGTATCTAAAGGACTTTACTCCAGAACATGTGTGGTGGAAACTAGATTTGGTTATCTTTAAGAGAACTTCATAAATTATTATTATTGTAATCAAATATAGGAAAAAATCATTACCGTATTTAGAATGTTCTATTATTCTATTTAACAGGTACAGGATCTTTTTCTAAGCTGCAGACGACGACATTTAAACCATTATCAACAGGATGGTTGCATATTTTAGGGAAAAAGTAAAGATATTTTCATTTATTAAGAAACATGTCTTTGCTATATTTGAAAATAAAAAATACATTATGTCATCAATACAGTTACGTCTTTCTCTAGTTCTAAATATCCATAGACTTTTGATCATCAACTTCAATTTTGTTTTCACATTCCGACATGCATTAAAATCACAGGGATAATGCAATGCAGAATCAATCTAAAGGACCATGGGTAATTTCACTGTTCGTACCCCGAAATGAAAAAAAAAAATAACGTCATTGATTGCATTTCAATTGTTTGGGACGGTCTAAGCCAACCACAGCGTTTTGTTGGAAGCGTTTGAAAATAATACCCAAAATGCATTAGATTCTAAAACGGCGAATTCCCTTCACTGTAACCTTACAGCAATACAAATTCTGTTATATTCATTTCCCTTTTTTTAATTGATTATAACTGTCGTACAAGTGAAAGGTTTATCTTGCTATAAAACCAGGTTAAACCTATCAGGTTCTTCGGAAATGTTGTTAAATTCATTTACCTTAAATTTTGGTAAAAATAGAACTGATTATAGCTGTCATACAAGTGGGAGGTTTAGTTTATTCCATGGGCTAACTTTTGTTATAAGCCTGGCATCTTTGATAAGTCTTTACAACCACTAGGTCGGAGCCCTGCTGGTGGACGTTTCGTCCCATAGGGCATCGTTAGCCTTATTGTCATCACTTTTATGTTTACATGAAATATCATTGAAAAAAGTAAAATAACAAAAATACCGAACTCCGAGGAAAATTCAAAACGGAAAGTCCCTAATCAAATGGCAAAATCAAAAGCTCAAACACATCAAACGAATGAATAACATTATATTATCATGTTTCTGTAAATTAACTGTTTGTAAAATGTTGAATTATTCGAAACACTAGGGTTTTCTACACCCATGTATTGTTTGACTAAGCCTTATATGGCCCACTGTTCGATTTTTAATGTTCTTCAACTTCTTATTTGATTTTGCCGTCTAACTGTTTTGATTCGAGTATCACTGAAGAGTCTTGTGTGGAGGAAACGCGCCTCTGGCGTTCGAAATTATACGCCTGGTACCTTTCACGAGTGAAAAAATGATTGAAAAAATCGATAAGCATCATTTCATGACTTTATATAAATGGCGAAAAAGTTTTTTTTTAGGTATCTGTCAAATAAAAGTTATATGCAAACATTTACGATCCGCTTACCCTTCCGGAGCACCTGAGATAACCCCCAGGTTTTGTTGGGGTTCGTGTTGCTTAGTCTTTAGCTTTCTATGTTGTGTTTTGTGTACTATTGTTTGTCTGTTTGTCTGTTTTCTTTTTTTAACCATGGCGTTGTCACTTTATTTTCGATTTATGAGTTTGTATGTCCCTCTGGTTTATTTCGCCTCTCTTTTACATTCATTTGGTAAGTAGATTTGCCACTTGCGACTACCTAGAAGTTTCAAAAGAGCGACGTAGCTTTTACTCTATACGATTGACAAAAGTCTCCTGCTTATACATGAAAAAAGCCAAATGTAATATATTTGCTAATTGCAAATTATCCGTAATTATGTCTGATAACTCTGAAACTTAAGTATAATATATAAGTTCAATCGCTTTTCAGAACACCTCAGCTGGTTGACTGCTTGTCCCTAAGGCTATTATCCGCTCAGTAGTCAAGGCACCGGCATGGACATTATTTATAGTATACCTTTAATAAATTCAGCGTATACATTTAGAATAAATTAAGGTTCAAACTCCATCGGGAAAAGTTGACATAGTGCGTTTTTGGATATTCTTTTGGTTCCCTGTTGTTCGAATAGCCCCTAAAGTATTCAAGTGTTTATATTTCTTTGGCTTTTAATATTTTTTTTCGCGAATTTTTTAATCACTTTTATTTCATCTTTACTGCATAAAATACACAAGGTTATGTTACCATCGTTTATATAAATCAAGTTCCAATTTGATGAAGAGAGATGCACAAATAAATAATGGCTACTGCAAAGATGAACACATTAAGAGGTTTTTTTCTAAAACAAAAAAATGAAGAAAAGATAAATGTGTTTAGAGATTAGGTCAGTGAACACGAACTGTTTTAATCGTAGGTGGTGAGTTAACATAAATTTGGTCACCTTTTTGCCGTAAATTTACGTAACTTAGAAGAATTTCCTGCTTCCCGATGATAATAAATATATTGAAGTTTTTCTATATAAGATATTGATTGAAATATCCTTTTTTATAAGTAATTACTTAAAAACTAGATTTGACAATTATCAATTCAATCAGTGTTTTAATAGATACACTAGTAAAATGGTTTCCCCGTTTTCAACATACTCTCTTTTTTCTACTTGCAGTATGCATTTTTGTCCTTCATTCTGATCGACCAGCTTGCTTATTGCTTTCATTGTTTATATGACTGTTCTTGTCCTGAATATGCATAACAACGTTATTAGTATAGGAAAGGTTCGTTGCATTAGCTCATTGTTTTAATTGTCAGAATTGCATGAACTCTGACATTAGGTAGACCGCGGGTCGCTTAGATATGTTAAGCGTCTCCTGCTGTGCATGCATTAATCGACAAAAATCAGGAAAAACCACGATCGGAAAACTAGAGATGAGACGACTCTTGTAATATCTAAATATCAAAAAGTGCCAATAGGGAGTTGAGACACAGATACTGCGTATCGGTCAACCAATTCGTGAAGGTGACCGCAAAACTGATGTAGTGTCTATCTCAGTCTTTCTTCCGCATAAAATGCTTGGATCAGTTTTAACCTATAATGCCAATCAAATGATCAGGTTCGCCACTTCCTTGGTTTGGTCAAATTCATATTTCTCGATACAAAATAATATCTTATAGCAAAAGGTTTTCTTATTGAATAGTCAACAGCTTTATTAGATAAACTGCTAAAAGCCATTGTTGATGGTGATCTTGCTGGGTCAGTGTTTCTCGATCTAGCAAAAGACTTTCATCTTCTAAATCATGAACTGCTTTTTCAAAAATTAAACAAACACATATTTTCATATACTTCGCTACGTTGGTTTACATCATATTTGGCAGACAGATACCTGCTGGTATCAATTTCAAATATATTTTTCAGACGTAGAAAAATTAAAAAACGGGTGTACCTTAAGGGTCCGTTTTAGGATCTGTGTTGTTTTTGATTTTTCTAAATGATCTTCCTTTATCCAATCCAAATTGTAACACCGTCTTGTTTGCTGATGATAGCACCATTTCTTGGAGAAGATGTTACTAAGTTGAAAAACTTTTGTCTAATCCATTTGTCCTTTTAGAACAATAAATATGTTTAAACTAACCATTTCTGTAATTGGACAAAACAAGAGTTGCATCAGTCAAACACTTAATACGGTTTTACAAGATATTTGTCGCTGGTGTGATGAAAGGAAAATGGAGAAAACTATTTTATAATGCTTACGTTTTACCTCATTTAGATTATTGTTGTTCAACATGGGGGAACTGCAACAACTTTCTATTAGGTAGTTTATTAAAACTGCCAAAGGGGGCAGCAAGAAAAGTTTTAGACGAACATGATTACAGCAAACCTTCCAACGAATTATTTCACGAATGTGACACTGCGCCAATTACAAATAGAATACATTATCGTAAATCATTACTGATGTATAAGACAAAAAATGGTTTAGCTCCAGAATACTTGTCTTATTTTATCAGCTTCTGCAAACCAAAAATACAATACGAGATTATCGTCTTCTGATAATTTTAGAATTCCAAATCCAAATACAGAGTTGTATCAGTCTAGTTTCTCGAACATTAGACCAAAAGTTTGGAATGCTCCCTAATACAATTAAAAAATAAAACACATTAGAATTTAAACTTAACTACTAATCTATGTTCTTTTAACATTACCATAAAATTTGTACTTTAATATGATAATTTTTTTATCGAATTTAAAGTGTATTGCATCTTTATTCATCATTATTATTACATTTGTATTGTTTAATTTTTAATGTAATTCTTATTGTATTAAGAGAGCCTTATTGAACATTTGTGTAATCTAAATCAGTTACTCCTTCTAAATAAAGATATTATTATTATTATTTTTATTATCGTCTCGGGCAATTCACGAGAAACACACATAAAAAGTATAGTAAATCATCCATCAACAATGAAATAAGGCTGTTATGTGTTCACGTGTGTATCTAGTTATTAGGCATCACGTATTAGCGGATTTGTAATTGTAAACCCTTCGGTAAAAACTATCGGTCATGTGAATATTCTGACCCTAAAACTTGACCGAATGTGAAATTATGAAGTTGAAATAACTTTTTGAATGACAAATGATAGACAAGACTATTACCAGTATAAACAACACATAGAACAAACAACAATAAATCTTTAAGCAAGAGCAACACAAACACTATTTAAAAAACACTAAGGGTGATCTCAAGTGCTCTGGAAGATTAACTAGATCCTGCTCCCCTTTTGGCATTCATCGTGTTGCTCATGTAAGTACAAACCTGGCGATAAGTCTAATTTCGTAGGTTACATTAGAAGAAAACGGGATTGTGGTTACGACAATTGTAACATATCCGTCGTCTTCATTGAAACCGATGTTCCATAACGGTCAACCAACTCGTAATGGCGTCCGTTAAATTTTCGAAGATATGACTTCAATTGCAACACTTGAAACTCTTGGTTTAATAGCTTTTTTGTAAGGAGCTATCCTTTTTTCAAGGAAATCAAGATAGGAAATATAAGCTGTTAGTATCCTCTGATATATTTTCATTCAACATTCATAAAGATATTCACTATAATGTGCACTAAAACCTAAATAATTATTATTTATACAAGGACTGGGTCGATACCACTGCTGGTGGACTTTATTCATCAACTCAGAAGTCAGTATACAGTATTCACATGACTTACAATATACTTTTCTTAAATTTTCCATTGATAAATTAAATAATTATAAAGGCACAAAGGTTCCAACTCCCTTAGGCAAATTTTACCTTGAATGAATTTGGCTATTTTGTTCAAGTTTTGA